GATTGCATAAGAAGCTGACTGGGATAGAATGGAACTTCGAGGGGTTGGTGTGTAAGGCTTGCTTTGAAGAGGCGAAGTGGAAAGAGACAAACCTTGGATGGACCATAGATACAACACTGGAGGTACCAATGAACGGTATGAACGGACACACTGGAGACGATCTCTGGCTCCTTGGCCGAGACAGGGACCGAGGGAGCGGTAGAAGGATCTGTCTCCCCCATTCATGATGCTCAACAGTTACCAGTGCTGCCGCCCTTTAAAGGAGCGAAGGAGGATGCTGAAGAAGACTCTTTTGAGGAATGGGTTGACCGCCTCGAGGAAATGGGAGTATGGTGTAGATGTGACGACCATAAAAAGTTAACACAGCTTTGATTGAGGCTGGAGGGTCCCGCTAGATCCTTCTACAAGTACAAGTCTTACAGTGAGTCTGAGAAGAGGAGCTATGATGCTCTGAAACCAGCTCTTGTTAAAAAAATTTACCCCTGTTCGACTGACAGCAGTACAGAATAGCAGGGGAGACAATTAAGGTTTGAATGAGTCAGCTGATGAGTATATATGCTTAGGAGTTGAGGAAGTTATTATATAAAGCATATCCCCCAACCTATCATGGGACTCCAGAAGCAGAATTATTAGGCAAGAGGAGTGTTCTCTCTAACCAATCTGTTGTAGAAGGGAATTTCGAGGTCTTGGTGTGTAAGGCTCGCTAAGTGGAAGGAGACAAACCTTGGGACAGAAGAGAAACCAAGGGGAAAAAAAGCCTCCAAGGAAGCCTAGTGATGACTCTGAAGAGAAATAAAGGGGGCTACAAGTGCCATCGATGTGGCAGTACACAACACTTTATTTGTGACTGTCCATTCGAAGGATGGGGAGCAACAAAAGAAGCTAGGTCTTATTTTGTAAATGGTAGGTTCATTACATGTACTATAATCTTGTTATGTCATCACAACAAGACTATAATGTCCCACCCTATGCCTCCCCTAGCATGATTAATATTGTGTTATGTCTGTGCATATGTCACTTCACGTAATAATGCATTTACGTTTGCTAAAATCTGTATAAACATTTGTTCCCTAATTAAGATTGGTTTAGAACTTGCTCTTTGTGTGTCTTGTGAATTTTAAGATTCAAATTTAAATTTTAAATATTCAATTTTAAAATAAAATTCAATTTTAAATTTACAAGTTGTTTGTCCTAATGTTATCGTAAGATCATGTTAACTTGTATTCCTTTTCTTTTGATTAGGAGAGACTGATATAATCTGCCCTGCTAACTGTGATGGCCAGTCATGACCACGTCCACGGCTGCAGACCGCTGAACTAGAGAAACAGAAGTGGGAGGCCAGAGGAGAGGAGCTCGATGGTTAAGAGAAGAGCGAGCTGGAGGTGAAAACCTGAGCAACTGGAATACACAGTGGAGACGTCGATCTCTGGCTCCTTGGACGAGACAGGGACCGAGTGCACGGTAGAAGGATGTCTTCCCATTCATGATGCTTAACAGTTACCAGTGCTGCCGCCCTTTAAAGGAGCGAAGGAGTATGCTGAAGAAGACTCGTTTGAGGAATGGGTTGACCGCTTCGAGGAAATGGCAGTCTAATGTAGATGGGACGACCATAAAAAGCTAGACGTCAAACACAGCTTCCATTGAGGCTGGAGGGCCCCGGCGCTAGATCCTTCTACAAGCCTTGCAGTGATTGAGTCTGAGAAGAGGAGCTGTGATGCTCTGAAAGCAGCTCTTGCTAAAAGATTTACTCCCGTTCGACTAACAGCAGTACAGACCAGTATGTTTCATTAGAGGAGACAAGGTTCGAACGAGTCAGTTGATGAGTATGCTTATAGGAGTTGAGGAAGTTATTTTATATATAAAGATTTTGAGTCTGGATTGCATAAGAAGCTGACTGGGATAGAATGGAACTTCGAGGAGTTGGTGTGTAAGGCTCGCTTTGAAGAGGCAAAGTGGAAGGAGACAAACCTTGGATGGACCATAGATACAACACTGGAGGTACCAATGAACGGTATGAACGGACACACTGGAGACGATCTCTGGCTCCTTGGCCGAGACAGGGACCGAGGGAGCGGTAGAAAGATCTGTCTCCCCCATTCATGATGCT